ACACACATATATATATATATATATATATATATATATATAATATTAGAATTAAATACTATAGTGATCACAGACCTCACTGTACATTTTGGATATTGATAAACATATTTCAGACACACAGAATCATTGTAATATTGCAAACTTAACAGGCAACCACAATCCAGTAACACTGAGATGACAGGATATTCATAAGGACAAAAATAATCGTGGCATAGACACCAAACAAAAAAACCCCCGTCATCCTAACTGCTTAAAAATGTTGATCACTTTTGGCCGTGTTGTGATAATGACTAAGAGACGTAACATTGCAAATGTATGAAAGGCAAAAGTAGAATAGTCACACTAGTATGGAAAAGTTCCATTACATCTCTATGACATTTTCAGACATATGAACTGCGATGTGCCACAGGCAGATGTTTGTGATGAAAAAAACAACAGGTGACACTGAAAGCCTGTCGCCGTCGCATGTGCCAATTACCTTGAGAGCAGAATTCATTTGAAATGCCTTTGTAATGCATCAGTCCCTTTCATTTAAACCTTTTGGCACAGAATGAGATGGTTATTTAATGATTTAAAAAAAGAGTGAGAAAAAGAGAGAGAGAAAGAGAAAGTGGGTGAGCAAGGGATAGAGAGACAGAATGAATAAAGCGACAAATGTTCCATAAGCAAGCTTATAATAGACCCCTCATTTCCAATACACTATGCTGGTAATGCTTGATGTATGAGGAGATTACAATAATTATCCTCATAAACGACAATGGTAATTTCCAGCTGCACATACCCATGCTGATTGTGGCTGGCAGGTGTAATGCGCTGACCTCTGTCATCATGCCTGCTTGAGAGGTCACAGTTTGTTAGGACACAGCTGAAATGATTCTTAAAGAAGAAACAATCATTCACACTGGCTTATCAAACCCTCTTGAGTACTCTGACTGGAAACCTCTGAAGGCATCTGGGTATCTGCATGTTTTAAAGAAAAAGATTTATGACTTTTTAATGCAAATTGAAAAAATTAAGAGCAATTATTAGCTTAAACGGGTGTTTTTTTTCCAATACACTATGCTGGTAATGCTTGATGTATGAGGAGATTACAATAATTATCCTCATAAACGACAATGGTAATTTCCAGCTGCACATACCCATGCTGATTGTGGCTGGCAGGTGTAATGCGCTGACCTCACAGTTTGTTAGGACACAGCTGAAATGATTCTTAAAGAAGAAACAATCATTCACACTGGCTTATCAAACCCTCTTGAGTACTCTGACTGGAAACCTCTGAAGGCATCTGGGTATCTGCATGTTTTAAAGAAAAAGATTTATGACTTTTTAATGCAAATTGAAAAAATTAAGAGCAATTATTAGCTTAAACGGGTGTTTTTTTTTGTTTTTTTCAAAAGAACCATAAGCTGGACAAACAAACAAAACAAAGTGGAGTGAAATGATATAATGCAAGAATTAATATTCAATTAAAATATATTTATATAAGAAGACATGTTTTCACTTATATATATATATATATATATATATATATATATATAT